CACTCTGTCTTATCATCCTTGAGGCGAGGCGCTTCTGTAGAGACTTCGAGGTATATCTGGCGCGTCCGCAGACCGAGGAGTCCCTTTCTATCTTTCTGTAATAAGTATAGCCCTTCAGAAATTTTCCTTTGTTTAGACATTTCCGGAGTTAGAGCTTCTTATGTATCTCTGTGATTTGTGAGATTCCGGGTTTTGGGAATTTTGTTAGCTTCGAGAGTTGTTATTGTATGTGCCGAGCGGCACCTTAAACACTGTCTTATTTTACTATTTCGGTTTTAAATTATTTCTTCCGCAATTATTGTTTATATTCCGCATTGTTAGGTTTACCTAGTCGTAGAGACTAGGTGCCGTCATGATGGTTCACGGAGGGCGAACCGGGGGCGTGACAAGTTGGTATCAGAGCTCTAGGTTCATAGGATTCACGAATCACAAGTTGGTTTATTAGAGTCTCGTGGATCGGTACGCAGACGTCTGTACTTATCTGCGAGAGGCTATGTAACCGTTAGGAAAATTCCACTTCATTTGATTTCCGTGTCGTGCGAGATTTTTGACATCACAATCCTAAAGGACCTAAACCTCTGTCTTCTACACTCTCACAGATGGTGAGGACACGTACTACCCGAGGTGATCAGGCACCTACGCCCCCTACTGCAGCCGTCAGAGGCCGGGGCCGGGGTAGAGGCCGAGGACGCGCACGTGATGCAGCTAGAGCACCTGCGCGAGCTGCCGCCGAGGTACCACCAGCAGATCCAGCCGGAGTCCAGGCACCTGACACGCCTACTGCTACTACTACTCTAGCCCTTCAGGAGACTTTGGCACAGTTCATGAGCATGTACACTACTTTGGCTCAAACGGGGTTGCTTCCCCTTGCTGCAGCCACATCCCAGGCCGGGGGAGGAGCACACTCCCGCCGCCTGCACTCCTGAGCAGCGAGTGCATGTTAAGCAGGTCCCCGAGATTATTCCCGCACCGCCTGCAGTGCCAGCTCAGCCCGAGGGCATGGCAGCGACTTTCGAGCAGGAGCAGCTGAGGCTTGAGAGGTTCAAGAGGTACAAGCCTCCTGGGTTCAGTGGTCTAGCATCGGAGGATGTTCTGGGATTCCTTGATGAGTGTTATCGCATTCTCCGAACTATGAGTATCTCAGGATCGAGCGGGGTTTCTTTCACTCCTTTCCAGCTTCGAGGAGCCTCCTATGATTGGTGGCGCACCTATGAGTTAGACAGTCCAGACGAGGCAGCTTCACTGACTTGGACCCAGTTTTCAGATATGTTCCTGAGAGAGTTTGTCCCTCATAGCCTCAGGGATGCATGGCGTGTGGAGTTTGAGCATTTGCGCAAGGGTGCTATGACCGTCTCGGTGTATGCTGTCTGTTACACCAGCTTGGCTAGACATGCCCCAGCCTTGGTTTCTACTGCTCGCGAGAAGGTTCGCCGGTTTATTGAGGGGCTTATTCCCAGCATCAGGTCTAGCATGGCTCGTGAGTTGGAGATGGATATTTCTTATCAGCAGGTGGTGAACATTGCTAGGAGGATAGAGGGCATGCATGCTAGGGAGAGAGAGGACAGGCAAGGTCACGAGAGAGAGGGCAGACGAGATCAGGAGAGAGAGTTTGAGGAGGCGAGGAGACCTCGTAGACCGGGGAGATATACTGGTCCTTATTTTGGAGGCAGGGTGCGTCACGGTAGAGGTTTTGCGGGTCAGCCAGTTCAGTTCGCGCTTCAGGCTTTGCATGGTGACTCAGGTGTTCATGGGTCTCGGAGTGCCCGTACCGCACAGTTCCTACCGCCTCATCAGCAGAGAGGGTGCTTTGAGTGTGGAGATACTAGCCATATGGTGAGAGATTGTCCCAGACTTCGGACCGATGTGTCACAGCTAGGAATTCAGGCGAGTAGAGGGCGCCCAAGAGGGGGAGGCCCGGCTCGTTGATGTGTTTCATGTAGTAGGCTTGAGGCCGGCGCGCCAGCTGAATGTCATTCAGGTATGAATTCGGTTTGTCATAAAGGGGCACTATCTGCGGTTCATTACAGTTCTTCTTATCGGGGTGAGTTCCCTTATTTGTTGCTCCATTTATGGGTGCGTTTCATGATTTGCACTCTGTTTATGTGATTATCCTATTGGGAGGTTCTATGAGTGATAGCCGTGTCTATCGTTTGTTTCTAGCCGTTGTCGGGAGTTATGAGACTAGTAGTGAAATTCCTGTTGTCCGTTTCGGTAGGTTTGATGTGATTTCTGAGTATTCTTAGATGCGAGCTGTGATTTTTTTTATGCTCCACCGGTGCGGGATCCAGTCCGTGTTGTAATTTTGTCGACGGAATTGATCTAGTGAGAGTTTCTAGATGGCTTGATGTGTACCCTACTCGTGATTCAGAGTTGAGGGCGGGACCCTCGTGATTTCATGTGATTTGATGTGTTGAGACCGGGCTGTGTACCGCGGTGAGAGTTATATCAATATAAGGTCCTTGTGATTCTTTTATATGCATTCATTCTTTCTTGTTAGATTGTTTTGTAGATTAGTGTTTTAGAAAATTTGTGCTTGTCCGACTTGTTTGATAGTCCCCTTATGTGTTTCCCTTCCCATATTCAGTCATTTTCGTTCTATGCTTCTTGAGTTTTAGCTTGTGGGGTGTGTGCCCGTTGGTATTAGCTGAGATTTGGTGATTCGGGTGTTTAGCTATGTGGCTGTCGTGGTTATTGTATCATCGCCAGTGTTGTGGAGGTTTGAAACGGGTTCCTATTGAATATGAGGCTTGTGGCCGGTGCTAAATTTGATTTCCGGTGAATATTGTGATAAAAAAATATTACTGTGGGCCTATGTGTGACGTGTTGTGTTGTAAGGTTATACTATATGGGTGTTGGTATGAATTGATGCAGCTGGTTGAGAATTAATTGCTTTATGGTTCATTCTTATTGCCTAATTGACTCTTACTTTGCTTAACTGAAGATCTTTACCCCTTCTATTGTCACGATTATCTTGCATAATTGCTTGTCTTTATTGGAACTCATTATTATCTCTCATGTAATTATTTAGTCTTAATTGAGGTTACGATTATCTTCCCGCTGCTCATCCTTAATTGAAATTATTGTATATCCTTCGTAACTTGCCAAACTTTAAAAGAAGTTTAGATATCCTATGTTTGGTTGACATTCCTTATGTGAAATTAATTGTTTCATGTTAACTTCCGTGTTGTTGAACTACATATTATGGAATCGTTGCTTCATATTGTTTTCCCCCTTGTTGAGTTGTTCTTATTACGCTTAGTATTCTCTGTTGCGGTTATTCCTTGTGAGTTACCGTCCCCTGGTGAGCGAAAGTTCTTGAGTTGATTCACTTGTCGTGCTCTTGTATGTATTGTCATTCTTGTTGTTGTACTTGTGATGGTGGTGCACGAGGTCTCTTGACGTGCGGTTGGTGATATTGTGATGCACGAGGTTTCTGCCATGCGGTTGTTGTTGAGGGGTTGCACGAGGTCTTTGCCGTGCTATTGTTGCTATTGATATATTGCACATGTGGCGTAACAAGGCCGGATATGTTTATATGCTTATATGTGGTTTGCGCATGTGGCGAGATAAGGTAGGAACATTATGATGCACGTGTGGCGAAACAAGGCGGGCACTTAGTATGTTATTATTTGCACACGTGGCGAGATAAGGTGGGCTATGTCAGGGATTAATTGTGATGATTTGTGATGGCCTGGGGGCATTCTTGTTGTTTAATATTGTGTTGTGGTACGCTTACCTGTATGAGCTTTATCTCGTGGAAATTGTGAGGAAACATCTTACGTACTGTCCGTTCTTTTCCTTACGCTTATTAGCTGGTAGGACTATGTTAAAGCACTTGCACAAGCATACACGTAGTTGAACACTCGTATTAGATGTGAAGTCCTCCTGATTTTGCTGAGCATAGATGTATACCCTCGTTTACTTGTTATATATGTGAGAGTGGCTCTAGTTAGCAAGTGAGTTGTCGGCATGACCATGAGGTTGATGTGGGCACAGGATGCCAAGTGTTAGATTTCAGGTACTGGGGCTCGTGAGCTGTAAATTGTTCGAGATTTGGTACTTCATGGAAATTGTTGGATAGGACCTGATGTGAACACTGTCGTAGGACCTGAGTTATTGCTCACATTTACTGTATTGTGAATTTAGGATTCGGGTTTGCGTTTTCATTCGCTCTTCTATGTCATTATTTTGGTATTTCCGCTGTTACTTGCTGTTTTTCTTCCCTTATTGTGATTGTAGTATTGTTAACCATCTCGTGTAGCTTTTATATATATACACATCATGTTCCGTTGTTCCTATATTTGTACAGTTTATTGGACCGGTAGGTGTCTTGACTGTTCCTCGTCACTACCCCACCGAGGTTAGTCTTGATACTTACTGGGCACCGCTGTGGTATGCTCATGCTACTCTTCTGCACATTTTTGTTGTGCAGATCCAGGTACTTCCACTCTGTCTTATCATCCTTGAGGCGAGGCGCTTCTGTAGAGACTTCGAGGTATATCTGCCGCGTCCGCAGACCGAGGAGTCCCTTTCTATCTTTCTGTAATAAGTATAGCCCTTCAGAGATTTTCCTTTGTTTAGACATTTCCGGAGTTAGAGCTTCTTATGTATCTCTTAGCTTGTGATTTGTGAGATTCCGGGTTTTGGGAATTTTGTTAGCTTCGAGAGTGTTATTGTATGTGCCGAGCGGCACCTTAAACACTATCTTATTTTACTATTTCAGTTTTAAATTATTTCTTCTGCAATTATTTTTTGTATTCCGCATTGTTAGGCTTACCTAGTCGTAGAAACTAGGTGCCGTCACGATGGTTCACGGAGGGCGAACCGGAGTCGTAACAATATATAATTGATTGCTATAGCAGAATGGTTGATAATGACCTCCTGACTTCTGTCATCTCCTTCAACTAATATCTTATCGGCTCTTTATTTGCCTACAATTATCCAATCTATTCGTTTGGACCAAAAGTTTTTGCTCAATCACAGAATTAAAAGAGTTTGTACTGTGAACTCTTTTTTTCTCAAAAGATCTCCACAAGACTTTACTTTCCAAAAAAAAATCTATTTCTTTTTCAAAATCTCCACAAATAGTTTAAGCAGATTGCATGCATTAGCATATCTGCATTGATCTAGTATCTTCTTTTTTAAATGTAAAATTACCCTCATGCGGCTAACTAGCCAAGTAAAAAACAGAGGACTCAGGACATGATAAGATGTCAATCAACAACCAGTAATTTTCAAGTTAGATGCTCAAAGCAGCAGAAAAGAGATGTTCACGCCTACTTCCTATGAACTTCTGCCGGAATTGCTCGAATTTTCCTTCTTGAATTGCCTCTCTGATAGAGCGAAAGAACCCCAGATAATGATGCGTGTTATGTCTAGGAAATAAAAACAAGCCACATTAGGTATCATGAAGACATTACCACAAAGGCGAGAGAGAAGGGCACAAGAGCTTCATACATTTCCAAAAGAATATGAGCAAGCATCTCATGGACATTGAAGAGGTGATTGATGTATGCTTTTGTATGATTTTGGCAAGTATAACACTTGCAATTATCGACGATGGGAGATGTATCCTTCCTGCAAGAAGGGGTGCGAGGGAGGACAGAAAATGCATTATCAGAGAACTTCATCTCATTATTTTGCCAGAAAGCCACCCCAGGAGGCCCCAAGCTAAGTTATTGGGGGGTCATAGCCAGACTACATTCTATCATTTCTATTTGTATAAAAACGAGCATAATTGTAGCTACGCCAGTATGCTGCTAATTTCACTTACACCGAGTATCACAAGAAGTCTGAAGTAGAATAAGACTTACCTATACATGGTTGCTTTCAAATTTATCTTTGTGCCATCACTTCCTGAATCACTATTTGGTTGGTATTTTGTAATTTGTGTTTCTATTCTTTCAAGCGGAAAGGTGAGAGCAAAGCCTCCCAGTGTAAGATGGTAGATGTAGCTGGAAAATAATTCCAATGTCACGATCGCAAAGCTCAAAGAATCAGATATAGAGAGGAAAGAAGTCACCAATATGCTGAGCTAGCACTTACGTGGAATCAAATAGGTCAATACCTGCAGCAACACCTTGCAAGACCTCTTCTGTAAGGATAAAAGATTTAATCCATTCAGCCACAAAATTATATAATTATCAATTTAAATATCCAAAAGTTTTCACAGCGGAAAGCAAGTGGGTTAAATGATCTGGTCGATATTGAAGTTATTTCTTTAGACTAGCTATATAACAAACAAGCTCCTCATCTATTTTCAAACACAATATCAATCACTATGTTGGCATGCACCGGTAATGCAAATATTTTTCTGTGAGTGCAACAGCGAATGAGTGAAAGAAGAAGACCGACTGGAGAAGACAGGAAGAGATGAACAAAGATAGAATTGTAAACATTCAAGATGTCTTTACCTGGTAGTCCGAGGCCACTTATAAGACGTGGTTTTTCTTGAGGTAAACTATCCTGCAATCAGTAACATCATAGGCCACCAAAAACTTGAGTTTTCCACAGTATGCAAACAAGTGAAACCATTTACAGTGTACCAAATCCGCTAAAGGACCATTGTAAACATAACTCACAGAAACCCATTTCTCTGAAATTAACATTAGTAAAAATAAAAGGTTAACATGAACATTGACCTTCGAGTGAAGAGACTGAATGAAGATGAGTGGCAATTTATGGACCTGAAGGAGATCATAAAGGAAATCTTTACACAATACAGAACCAACTATAACTAGATTACATGTATAGCAAATGTGGCACATGAACCGCTTAATCCACTCTCATGGCATAAGCACCAGCACCAAACTACTCCAAGAAACGCAGGACCATAGATGATCCACAACTAATATTAAGAACCCATGTTTTCACTTAAGCTATATGCACCCGATTCGAAAGGGATGACGTAGGTGCAGACTATCGATATGAACCTTCAAATAAACTAAAAAACTGATAAAAGATTGACTCATACGGCATTCAAGTCAAACTCAGATCAGTTTACACTTTACATTACATAAGGTGCTAAGTAGTCAACAGAGCTCCTTAAAGTATAAGGGGAATAGCACCCAAAGGTTTGGTCCAATGGCAAAAGTAGAAGAGCACGAAATATGCATGTGACGAGTTTGAATTCTGCCGGGGAACCAAGTTTAGTGTTTAAGTGGAGAAAGTTAGAGGAGAGGGCTCATTATCCACAAAGTTTCGAAGCTGGAAACAACAGATTTCTTCATTTAACTCGCAAAAAGAAATGGTATATGGGGAATAGACCTAAAGCAAATTGCTTATCAAGACATCTTACGATCAGATTCCTATCTTTATGCGCATTAGGTAAGTTCAAAAACAGTGGTGGGCCTATCCTTGCCTTCCACATTCGTTTCAAGAGTAGAACTTCTTTAGAAGCAAAAGTATTTTCTGCCAAATGAAAAAGAACAGAAGCCTGATATACCATAAGAGAACCATACCATAACAGCACTAAGGAGGGGGCTGCGCTCTTCCATGCTCTCCCCTAGTCCAAATCCACCAATCCAAAATCCTGCATTGACCAAAAGAATTCTAAAGATTAATAGGACAATAGCAAGTGACCAAACAAATAAATATATAGACATGAGTCCTTTGAATATTTAACAAAAGTAAACTTCAGTGCAACAGAATCACTTGTAAAAGATGGCAGATCAAAAAGGACCAAGATCCCCTCTCTGATAATAGCTGTAATCGTTCAATTCTGCCAGAAAGTCTTTTCCGTGAAAGGAATTCATTAGTGGGTGCAAGATATTTTCAGATGTAAAGATACTCATGAAACAGAAGAACTTTCTCCGACGTTGTTGAAGATCAGTTTAGGGCCTTTAGGCATGTCTTAGAAAAAGCCTTATAACGTGGATAATAAAAATTCTAATTGATTTTATTCGTTATTAAGAGGATTTCACTTACAATTGCCACATACTCTAGGTGTTTTTTGACCTAGACTTTGGTGTTCCTCATAGGATTGGATTTTAGTTACAATTACGAATACAGTGGCAATAGAAGTAAATGTCCTCAGAGAGAGAGAACAAACCTTCTACATTCCTCCTAGCAACTTCTTGGGCACAACTTCGGCGCACTTCAACCCTAGAGCCTCCAACAATGGATCCAAACACTGCTCCATCCTTCTACACTTTAGCAGTTACAACACTTCTTGATGAGATTGTGAATATCAATATACTTGGTAGGTCTAACAACACCTGAATATAAATTTTTTAAAAGAAAAGGAAATAGGAGAAGGAACAAATAGGATGAATGTATGTACCTAGTTGACAAGATGATATGACCACATTCTATTAATTATATATACATGACACGGGAAACACAAAAACAACCCTCCTAAAACATATATTGCAAGAAAAGTACAGTACATAATGACCATCAGGGGTGGATGCACGTTGCTACATGTGATATGCTTGCTGAACTTTACCAAATATACATGCAGATAATAATTAAAATATAAAACAGAGAATAAGTATATTTGGACGACACCACTTGACAAATGGAATTATTCCAATACAGTGTCTGCCCATTGCTTGCTCTATGAAAAGTCTGTTGGGATCGAAATAATATGGTGCATGCGGAAGCTAACAATGCAAAGCTGGGTGGACGATAAATTACACAAGAAAGAAAATATACTAAAGAATATGACATTATTATGGAGTTTGGTCAATTGACCTACATATAAAAACTAGTATAAAAATATACAAGCTATTGAGAGAAAAATCTCCCCTAAACAAGACTCATTAATGACTACATTGTGGATGCTATTGTTGTTGTTCTTGTTGTGAGAAGAAAACATCAATTTTGTAGAAATACAAAACTTCTCTTCCAAGAAAATGATAAGGCATATGAAAGACTTATTGCTTTTAGGAGTCTTTTTCCCTTCCCTCAAAAAAGAGAGTCCTAATAGAATATAAATTCAGGGCAAAATCCTAACAATTCTCCCATTTGCCTGAATTTTTTTGACAAAGCTTGATTTGCCGCCTTCACATAATCTTCATCATTACTGCTTGCCATGATTAAAAATAAGTATGGGTTGAAAATTGGAGCTCATGCGTTAAAGTAAGCATGAGTAAAAATAATTTTATTTTTAAAGATGAAGCAGCAGGAATATTGCAATTATGGTTAAAATTTGTTCTCCACATGTAGTACTCTAGACATTTTTTTCTTCTTCGAATAAAAATCTTCATTATCGTCAAATTAGTTGCAGCTTGATTTGAACCCGCCTGAATCTATCTTCGATCTTGCTTCGAACCATTGGCTCAGATACCACTTGTTGGGATCGAAATAACATGGTGCATGCGAAAGCTAACAATGCAAAGTTGGGTGGACGATAAATTAGACAAGAAAGAAAATATACTAAAGAATATGACATTATAATGGGGTTTGGTAAATTGACCTACATATAAAAACTAGTATAAAAATATAAAAACTATAGAGAGAAAAATCTCTCCTAAACAAGACTCTTTAATGACTACATTGTGGATGTTATTGTTGTTGTTCTTGATGTGAGAAGAAAACGTCAATTTATAGAAATACAAAACTTCTCCTCCAAGAAAATGATAAGGCATATGAAAGAGATTTATTGCTTTTAGGAGTCTTTTTCCCTTCCCTCAAAAAAGAGAGCCTAATAGAATAGAAATTCAAGGTAAATTCCTAACAATTCTCCCCTTGGACTAAATTTTCCTGACAAAGCTTGATTTGCCTTCTTCACATAATCTTCATCATTCCTGCTTGCCATGATTAAAAATAGGTATGGGTTGAAAATGGAGCTCATGCATTAAAAGTAAGCATGAGTTAAAAAAAATTATTTTTAAAGATGAAGCAGCAGGAATATTGCAATTATGATTAAAAAAAATTCTCCACATGTAGTACTCCAGACAATTTTTTTCTTCTTGAACTAAAAATCTTCATTATCGTCAAATTAGTTGCGGCTTGATTTGAACCTACCTGAATCTGTCTTCGATCTTGCTTCGAAGCATTGGCTCTGATACCACTTGTTGGATCGAAATAACATTGTGCATGCGGAAGCTAACAATGAAAAGCTGGGTGGACGATAAATTAGACGAAAGAAAATATACTAAAGAATATGACATTATAATGGGGTTTGATCAATTGACCTACATATAAAAACTATTGAGAGAAAATTCTCCCCTAAACAAGACTCTTTAATAACTACATTGTGGATGTTATTGCTGTTGTTTTTGTTGTGAGAAGAAAACGTCAATTTATAGAAGTACAAAACTTCTCCTCCAAGAAAATGATAAGGCATATGAAAGAGATTTATTCCTTTTAGGAGTCTTTTTCCCTTCCCTCAAAAAAGAGAGTCCAAATAGAATAGAAATTCAGGGCAAAATCTTAACAAAGTCAAGGTTTCAATTCCACATACAGGCTTCATCATTTTTTTTTACAATTAACTAAATAAGAACCCAAAATGACACTAAACACCAACTATATCAGCAAAGATATCTAGTTGAATTCCAAGAAAGCATGTGAAAAAGAAAACAAATACAATCATGGCTCTAAAGAAGCTTCATTATCTAGGATAATAAAGTCTCAAAAATCAAGACTTTTTTCTTTTCAATTGTTTAATATTCTTCCCCCCCCCCCCCCCCCCCCCAAAAAAAAAAAAAAACTGCATTTATCGCTCATCTGTTATCTAGCTTTTACATATTTCTGAGCACTCCAACTCAGACTCCACAATTCTTTTTTTACCCTACCTCCAGCCTCGAGCCACCTATCACGTGTGATTCTCCAATAGAGGGTAGCTTCTTTTTTTGTTTATATGAAATAAGTAAATTTTTAGATATATGTTGGGATTAGTGTTAGTATGTAAAGATTTACTTTATCAATTTTCTTTGGAATGGAATATGAACGTATATTTCATTCTAAAATATCATAATATGAGCCGGTTGAACAAAGATTAAGAAATATGAGTAACACTTTGTTCTAACCATGTAGAGCTTGCCTAGTCAGGATTTTAATTTGCCATCAGTTAAAATTTCAATTGAGCAGGGTAGTCAAAGGCGCGCTTAAGTCATGAAGCGAGGCTCAAAACATGTTGAGCGCTTCGCCTCGCTTTGTGGGCGCTTCAGCGTCATCATCAAGTCTTTAAGGCATACTTTTCCTTGCCAATGAGCGTAATTGTAAAGAAGCGACACTAAACAATTGATATTTCACTATCGTAATTCTTTTTCAATTTCTTTGTCCATATATTTGTTATTTAAACTTATAACTATTAGTCTTGGAATACTTATCAAAAAATATATACGTCTTGGACTACACATACATATTTGTATTTTTTTTTTCCATTTGCGCCTTTCTTCATTAAAGCCCACGCATTATTTGCGCTTTGCGCTTAAAGCCCCAACGGACCTTAGAGCTTTTTTGCGCTTTTCGCCTTTCATAACACTGCAATTGAGAGACATTAGCCTATATTATTTTCTATTTTATTTTATTTTTTAAAAAAAAACTTGATGAAAGTTAGTGGTATGCTCAAAAATCACCTAGAGCGTGCAAAAACGGTCATTGACTTCCTTAAAGAATTCTCCTTAGCTTGTATAAGTAGATCTTGCACCTTAAACATACAATCAAAACTTACATAAGATCTGATACTTAAAAGTATTTAAAGAAGAGGAGTGAGAAAAGTGTCCCTTAGATTACAAGGGCTTAGAATTGCTGGACTAAGTGATCCAATGGTCAAAATTGAATTACTTGGCAAACTTCCATTATAAACCCTCATTCTCTTGGAGGGAGTCCTTTACGTTAGATGATTTATAAGTTTATTATTGGGTCCTCAACATTCACTAACTGCCAATTACCAGATAGGAATAATTTTACTCAATTCAATTTATATCTAACTATTTTTAACAATTGAAAGAACTTACTAACCAATAAGCAAAAATATTCTCTATTAGTAAATGAGTTTTCAAATAACACAAATAATTGGATTTCAAGAATATGGCGAATTCCTTTATACACATCCTATTAAAAAAAGAAAAAGAAAAGGCGAAATACATAGTTTACCCATCCAACTTACGACCAAATCCCTGTTACACACCTGTTGACCACGGGTTTCATTTTACACACCAAACCTTTCAAAAGTGTGTCAATTACATACCACTTTCATGCTGGACCAGTTTCACAAAATGTGTGTGTATCACGCACCAATATGCTCGTGACATGTGTCATTAATTTAAAAAAAATAAAAACACACTTAAAATTACATATATACCCCCTTCTTCATCTTCCCCACCTTGTCTTCCATTATCATTGTTCTTGAGAAAAATTTCCAGCAAGACCCAAGAAAAAACAATAACTTAGAATCAAAGGACAAAAAAAAGAACTTTTGAAACTTTTGTAATTACTATTCCTTTCTGGATCGAGTCACAAACGGGAAGAAATTATCAAGTAGCATCTTAATTGGATTTTCAACATTCTACCACAAATTGGAAGAGATTGCCAAGTAACTTTAACTAGTCAATCAAAATCGAGTTACAAGTTCAGTTCAAAAATCCAAAATTAACAAGATCCAATTGAATTTTCAAGTTTTTTCAATAGCTCAACAATGATGTTTTTTGAATTTTCCACCCATTTTTCACAAAACCTGTGATAAACTTTTAAATCTAGCACACTTAAATGATTTTTAGAAACCCAATTGGATATGGATGTTGCATTACTTCGACGATGCTGAATCTCTGGTTTTTTTTGTCCTCCTCTAATTCTTGGCAAATATATTTGGTGGTATGCATGAAGGCATAAGAAGAAATGCTGCAATAATGGAAGAAGATGGAAAAGAATAGTGGATTTTTTATTCTAAAAATAAAGAAAAGGATTTAGAAAAATGAAAAGGCTGGACAGTGCTGTCAAAATGCCTTTAGACACAAAATTTTGATCGTTCACTCGCCTCTTATGTGTGAAAAACACGCGAGTGACACGTAATCAAAAATGTGTGTTTTTGACACGCTTTTGAAAGGTTTTGTGTGTAAAATGAAACTCGTGATCAACAGGTGTGTAACAGGGATTTGATCGTAAGTTGGATGGGTAAACTATGTATTTCGCCAAAAGAAAATGAGGGCCAATTATAATGCACATAACGTTTTATGAAAGTTGGGATGTTACAACTCTTACCCTTAAAAAAATTTTGGCTGAAACTTACCCGATACTAGTCATGGAGTAAATGTGGACGCTATCGTGGCATGTCTTCTTCCCATACCTAAGTAGCTTCCTTCCTAGAATGTCTTCACCAATGGACTCTCATTAAGTGAAAACTCTTGTTCGTAAGCTCCTTAACCTCATGCACCAATATCTGGATAGGTTTTCATATGTTAAGTCATGATTGACTTCAATAAATTCAGCAGGAAGAACATGGAATGAATCCGAGAGATATTTCTTCAGCATAGAAACATGGAAGGCATTACAGATCTTGTCTAACTAAGGTACCGAGGCTAATTTCTATTCAACTGGGCATGGGCCAACTCTCTTAAGTACATCTTTAAGGCCCAATGAATCGAGGACTAAATTTCACCTTTGGCCAAATCTCATAATTTTCTTCCACGGAGAAACTTTTAAAGTACCTCATCACCCACTTGATGTTCAATTTCACACTTATTAAGATCTACATAGGACTTTTGTCCATCCGGAGCAATTTTTAATCAGTCCTTGATGATTTTACCTTTTCTTCAGTTTGTTGCACAATTTATGGACATAAAAGTTTTCTTTACCAAATTCATTCCAACAAAGAGTTCTATATTTCCATCATATAAAGCTTCATAACGAGGCATGCTGATACTTGATTGGTAGCAATTATTATAACCAAATTCTATCACGGCCAACTGCTCGTCCAACTACCCTCAAACTCAATAATACATGCTCGAAGCATATTATTCAAGATTTCTATCACGACCAACTGCTCGTCCAACTACACTCAAATGCAATAACACATGTTTGAAATATATCATCCAAGATTTCTATCACGCCAACTGCTTGTCCAATTACCCTCAAACTCAATAAAACATACTCGAAGCATATCATCCAAGATTTGTATTACCCTCTCGGACTGGCCATCTGTTTGTGGATGGAAAGCAGTAATGAAACTCCCTTAGAGAAAGTCCTTTGGAGAAACATTCTAGCAAGGAGCTACTTGGGAGCTGGAGAGCACATGCGACTACAGTATCCACATTACTCATGACTAGTATTGACAAATTGTTTGGGAAATTTTTTAAGGGGAAGAGAGCTGTAACACTCAAATTTTCATAAAAACATTGTATGCACTATATTTGACCCTTCATTGTTTTATTAAAATCAGGTGTGGAAAATTTTTTCTTCACCCCTTTATTGCAATTCAAATATTTGTGTTATTTAAACATTTCAGTAGTAATAGAAAATAAATCTCTATAATCTATGCTTATCGATTAGAAGGTACTTCCAATTCTTTAGAAATACTCGGATATAAATCAAATTTAAGGAGAATTATTCCTACCGGGTAATATTGGGTGATTGCTCTTCGCGAAATATAGACATAGATTGAACACTATATAATAAAGTAAAAAATCATCTTGGGGGAGACTATTACATACTTAGAACCTCAAGGACTCTCATGTACATTCTCTAAAACAGGGAGGATCTATAATGCAAATTTTCTAAGTCATTTTATTTGAACCATGAGATCACTTATTTAGCAATTCTAAGCCTAAGATCTAGGGGACACTTTCCCACTCCACTTTATTCTCACCAGGTTGAAAGAACCTCATTTTGTCACAACTTATCTTCTTCTTCATTTCCCCCATTAAAGCTCTCACTAGCATGAACTGAAATACTTTTCTTTTCTCATGAAAACATAACTCTATATTTAAAAACCATTATGTCTTCTATGTAAACAAATGATGTAGGCTTGGATTTAGAAGAATCAAAAGACATCGCTCTTCTTTTGTGGTAAGACAGTTAATCAAACTTTATTTTTTGACATGGTTGAGTTTTTAGTTAGTGCACTTGATATTAAGAACTTGATCTCGTTTGTTACTGTACAGCATTTTGTAAATTGACTATAACTATCTTTCTAGAACTCAGATTAAGGTGATTCAAAATTCTGGAGAAAATTAAGACACATATCTACAACTTTTGTGAAGACCAAAAGATCTAATAAATATTTCATTTATTCAAAATCAATGCCTAACCTTTATAACTTGATTTAACTTTGATTATACCATGTAAGGGCTTTCTCTTTTCATATTTTGACTTCATTTTATAATGGGAAATTAGAACATGTAGAAAGCGTTAATTGTTAAGTTCTCGCTAATTCGAATTTTTCTTTTCCCATAATATAATATAGTATATATTATTATATATATATATAATAATATATATATAATAATATATAAGAGAGAGAGAGAGAGAGAGAAAGGAAAGGGCATGTTGGCCTCATTATGGCATTCATCTCCTATTAAGAAATTAGTTGTGCAAATAGTATTTTGAGATTTATCAACACTGCTGACCTTAACTATTTAGTATTGTTTTTATACGTCTGATCAGCTAATTTACTAGGCCCTAAAGTTAATATTCAACACCTACCGTGGTTAAGCTGTTCACACTACTATGTTCACACTACTATCTGATCAAATTGTTCTAGAAAACAACTTAAAGTGCATTAGCTTCCTAATTTATTTGCCACACAAAGTATGGATTGAACTTGTCATTCAACTCGTACTCAGTTTTAATATGGCATGTCGCTGTCTGGTCGTGAATATCTCCACTAAAATGACCAATTGAGTGTGACAAAAGTCAGCAAAGATGACACGGAGAACAAAAATGTAAAAAAGAAAAAAGGACCTGCATGCGTAATTTCAATAGAAAGAACAGAGACGTTAATGACTTCGAACGAAAAATCAAAAGTTCCCATGAGTTTTATCAAAAACTGTTCTTCTAGACGATGAAAAATACATTGTGCTGTCCTATGTTCAGACAATGAAAATGTAATAGATGCACCTCCTTTTTAGGTACTTCACAGAAAAGGAACTCTTAAGTTATGGCGTCTAGCCATGTGAATGGTGTTCAACCAACAATAAACATTCCATAGACAAGACAATATAGGCACCTTTGTGTGCTTTTCATGTTGCATATTGACATCAAAATCGGGCTTGTAAATAAACAAATCCACATACACAGTGCCAGCAACGCAGAGAATAGATAAATAGCCAGTACGACATGCCTACCGAGTTTGAAATGATGCATTCGTCAAGCCATCTTAGAGTGCGTTCAACTGAGGCTTTGTTCCTTTTTTCAGAAGCCCAAGCAGGAACTTCATCAGCTAAAGTGGTCCATAAATTTGGCCTCATAGAAGAAATCATTTCCATGTATTCTGCAGGCTTAATCTGCCAACAACACAGAAAATTTTCAATGAACAAACTAAACTTAATGGGAGGAAAAACATAAAAGCGAATGGATTGCAACTAGGGTAGCTGCAACTAAAACAAAAAGGCGGTCAAATTAAAAACAAAAATAAGAAAGAAAGGGATAAATAAGTTACCAACATACGACCAGAAGGAGTTTCAAAAGAAGCTCCAATCCTGTTAGTACTGTCATGGTCCGGGATAGATATAATAGAATCCCTTGGTACAGCTACAAGAATATGATCACGTAAACCAAGCAACGGGTGCAATCCTCCAATGTTTGAGATTGCTTTCAGGGAAATGCCTTCCAAGCTAGAACAAGCAAATTCAAAAATGCTGAATTGTTTGAATCACCTCATCTAAAAGGTTAAACTGTTCTATGACCAACACTCTTTACATAGTTATAAAACTTCAAATTTATTTTTGTTGGTCTTCAACAAGCGATAGAGTGCATCTCTCACGTACAGTGGTGGTAAACCACCTTATCTAAAACTAAAACGGAAGAGAGGTAGACCTTTATATTTAGTTTTTCTGATATTGGTCTTCACTCTTGAAGAAGTAAGAAAAGAGCACCCATATTTACAGTAGCATATCCACAATGTAACATGTGGGTTTACCGAATCTAGTAGCTTTTGCCCAGACAGTTTATATGTATTAAGAAATCATATATATATATATATATATATATATATATATATATATATATGAGACCGTGAATAGAGTTATTAGTGGATATTAAGTTGCCCATAAAATTTAAATCTTGCATCCGCGTTTGTGTATTCAGATGGATTTACTTTGACAGCAGCAAGTTTACAGCACGGACAAAAAGACAAACACCTTGTCTGCGACCCAATGAATTAGGACAGCTAGCAAAATAGAGAGAAACTTAGCGGAGAAGCAAGGAAACTTACAAGTGAAGGGGGCTGACATGGAAGAGGAGAGAATCAGGGGAAGGGAGGGAAGGGAAGTGGTCAGGAGGAATGAAAACAGGCAAGCCTTTGCGAGTTGTAAGGAGGAGAGCAGGTGTCTCTATTGGGTGAGGGCAGTTTCCCAGTTGAAGTACACCAACTCGGGCTTTGCCATTGCTCCATGCCTTCACCACAAACTTCATTCTCTTCTGCTTCTCTACTCCGCGAGGGGTTTAGAGAAGCTGCCAATCGCGCCCTTAGCTGTTAAACCCCAAATAAGAGAACAAATTAGAGTAAACAATGGAATATTGCGTGTAATTACATTGCTCTTTACATATATTATTATAAGGAAAATAATGATTTTATTCCCTAAGTTACAGCTATATTCCAGTTTGAGTCTCCCTTCTACAATTTAACGGAGCATACTTAACCAAATTAATATTTAAAAACAAATTAAATATAAAAAAGAGAAAAAAAATAACATGAGTGAAGACTAAGGCCTCATTTGTTTTTTTTAATATTAAGATGTCTGAATCTGAATATACGTCTGAATATCAAGATGTATATTGAGATTAAGACATCTGAATCTGAATATACATCTGAATATTAAAATATGTATTAAGATCTGAATACTAAATGATTAAGACTGTTTGATTTTTTACATCTGAATGTATAAAATTTAAATTTATTTGAAAATTAATAAACATAAAATTCAAATAAAATACTAATTAATTTAATATTCCATCAATAAAATATATAGCTTTTAAAATATAATAGTTGTTGGTGGTGATGGCTACCGGTAGTGGTTGTGTATGCTGACAAAAAGCAATGGTTGGTGGTAGATTTGGTTGATGGTGGTAGTTTAGAGTAGTAGCTAGTGGTGATTGGCAGTGGTAGCTATTATGATTGATGATGGTGGTAGTGGGTGGTGATAGTTAATAATGGCGGGTGGTAGTGGTGGTAGCTGTGATTGGGCAAGATGGTAGTGGGTGGTGGTAGTTTGTAATGATGGACAGTGCCAGCTATGGTGATTGATGGTGATAGGATGGTTAGTTGTGGTAGTCGAGGTGGATGAGTGTTGGTTGTCGTTGATAATGATGGTGGTGGGAGTGGTGGGGATGGTGGGTGGTCGACAATGGTGACGGCTATGATTGAGGATGATGGTGGTGATGGTTGAGTAAGGTAGTGGTAGATGGCATGGTGGTAGTTGATAATGGTACGCGGTGGCGGCAGTTAATAATGAATATGGATGATAGCATCTTAATGAAATTAAGTCTCTGTTATAGATCTTAATCATATAGACCAATTTAGACCCATTAAGTGGTTGTGAAGTAAAAAATATAAACACACTTAACGATTAAGATATGAATAATTAAGATTCAGATTTTAAAAACAAACGCACTTAATGTTTGAGATCTGAATGGTTAAGATTCAGACCTCCATTAAGCGCAAACAAATGAGGCCTAAAGCTACATTTCAAGGTCCGGACAAAAGCTCCTTTGAGTTAAATGATTAACTAGTATTAGTACCCGCGCGGATGCGCGGACACTAACCATGTCAAATATTTGAGTTATTTGGATTATATGTAATTAATCTTAAATTTTAAACATTCTCGACAAATATAGATAATCATTGGATATTAATTAAGAAACACTGCATGAAAAAGATTAACCATTTCTCGAATCTTCTAGTTATAATTCTATTTTCTTTTTTGGTATCATTTTCGCCGGTGTCATTGGATCCTAAAAATAGTTAGGAACCAAAATAATAACTCATGTTTATGGCAAAACAATCAAAGGTTGAGACTATGAAGGACTCTTTGGATACGATTTGACTCTTTTACTACTATTTGAATTCTTATTTGGTGTATTGGTATCTTTCAAAAAATACTTCTATTTTAAGATTTCAGTTTCTAAAATTTTATTTTTCAATAATAATTATTTTTATAATAATGTAACTGAAAATATTATCCTTAATTTAAAAGTCATTTTAGTCGGCTATCTAAAAATTTAAAAAATTCATTAGCCAGTGAATTTTTGTTCCTATATGATTCCATTTTGATATTTGACATTAATCATGTTAATATCTGAGTTATTTGAATTACATATAAATAACCTTAAAATTTAAACTTATAGATAATTAAAAATAATCGTTAGATATTAATTAAGAAACGCTACATGGAATAAGACTAATATTTTCTCTAATCTCGTAGCGATAATTTTATTTTTGCACCATTCTCATTGGTATCTTTGGAACCTAAAAATAGCCACAAGTGAAATAATAACTCATATTTATGGCAAAGCACAAAGGTTGACACAATATGAACGATTCTTTGGTTACGAGGTGACTCTTTTACTACGTCCCGAACTCTTATTTGGTATGATGTTATCTTTTAAAAAATATTTCTATTTTGAAATTCCAATTTCTAAAAATTTATATATTTCAATAATGATTATCTTTATAATGATTCAAGTGAAGCTATTATCCTTAATTTTTAAATGGTTCTTTAGCCAGTGAAACTTTATTTCTGTATGATTCCATTTTGAGTTTATCGATATCTCTAGCCACAAATTGTGAATTTTGAATACCCTATATATATATATATATATATATATATATATATATATATATATATATATAAATTTTTTGTTTTTGAACCATTAAATGTTAAATAGTTGATTGTTATTATATAACATTGCATATATTGTCTTAAAAGTGTCAAGTAATTTTTTCTCGACAGCATACTTGGCTACTCAAATTGCATTTAAATTCAAATTCGAATATCATATCAGTTTGTTAGTAATAGTGACTTTTTAAAACAACACACAATGTAAATTAAAAAAAAATATTCTAAGATATCCTTATCTTATAATCTATGTTAAGCGATCCACAAATTTTTTGAGTAATTTTGTGCTTCTTTGTTGTATTTTAAAGATATCCTCCATACGTTTCTCCACTTTTTGGGCTCCCAATGTGCTGTAACAAATGCATCTGCAAGCTCATCAAACGAATCAATTTAATTTTCAGGTAAAAGAGAATATCATGTTAATGCCCCTTTCGTGAGGGTTTCGCCAAACATTTTCACCAGCACCGACTCTATTTCATGCTTAATCAAACAATTGCCTTTGACTCTTGTGGAGAATGATGTCACATGATCTTGTGGATCAAAAGTTTCATCATACTTAGGAATATCTAGCATATTAAACTTCTTTGGTATTGGTAATGGAGCTGCACTAGATTTTCACGGTTGTTGCGAATATTTGTCTATATCTACGCCTTTGATTATCTGTGGACACCCGATATTTGTTTTTTGTCCGTTCATTCTGCTCCTTTGATTGTTTCTACAAGGTCAAAACTAGATTTTGCAAATTAGTATTACCTGGTGTACTTGAACCTCCAGCCTTAGAGCTATTTGGATCTTTTGTACTCCTAGAATTTTCAAGCCCTGAATTAGGGTTTTCTAGGTTGTGTTAACTGGTGGCGGTGATGAAATTGTTGTTGTTGCATTTCTTGCCAAAGTTCTTAATGCATCTCCAATATGTTGAGCGATAAATTACTTCAATTCATCCTGCAAACCTGGTTGTTCTTCATTTCGCTGCTCGATACTAGGATTAGCAGATATGACAAGTGAATTATCATGCGAATGTTGTGGAGAATGCATGGGTGAATTCCTTGGAGGTTTTCCTCCTTGTTCATTCTCTTACTGAATAACTTGATCAGGCCTAATTGTTGTTAGGGGAAGAGAAATTATCAATGGAAAACTGAATGATTGTTAGATTCCCGGTAACAAAACCAAATTGAGACTTTATGTCAGCAAGGGAACCCTGATCATAAATGGATTGTTTGTCCCGGTGAAAGGGACGCTCTCGTTTTAATCGCTCAGGCGCATAAGTTGAATAGTTGTTTTATGTGTTCATCTATCCTTCCCTTTACTATTGGAAACCGAGATTATGTTCATCTCCCTTACCGCCGGTTGATCCCCTCTTATTTGTTTAATCCCCTCCGGGGCTGGGAATTTCAGAAGTTAATGGTATGTTGATGGCACAACCTTAATCTCATGTAGCCATGGCCTTCCAAGAATAATGTTATAGCCCATGCAACCGTCTACTACTTCAAACAAGTTCGTCTTCATGACCCCTATGATGTTTCTGGGCAACAGGATCTCCCCTCGAGTTGTCACACTTGCTAAGTTGAATCGGGTGAGGAGCTTTGTGGCCGGAATGATGCTTCCGTTAGCTTGGGTTGCGCTAGCACTCTCCATTGCATAATATTGGCTGAACTTTTTGTGTCCACCAAAACACGTTTAATTTTAAATCTAAAACATTAAGAGAAATTATCGTGGCATCATTGTATGGTAGTAGGAGTCCATCTGCGTCCTCCTCCGTGAAAGTGATATCGTCCTCGGCGACTTCTCGGAGTCTCTTGCTATGAGTCACTGATACCTTTGTCTTTTTCACTGCTGAAAAGGTTACACTATTAATCTTGTCCCCCTCCCCCCAGAAATCATATTGATCGTTAGACGAGGAGGATCTTCTCTTGCTTTTGAGGGTTCCGCGTTCTCCCGGTTGCGGATGTAGTTATTCCTAGCCCGGTCGCTTAAGAATTCTTTGAGATGGTTGTTTTTCTGCAATGTCGCCACCTCGCTGCGCAGATGTCGGTAGTCCCATGATACTCACACCATAGATTAGGATCCCTCTGAATGGGGCCGGATCTCATCGGCCTCGGGAACCATGATTCCTTATTATTCCTCATCACCAATACCTGTTCCACTACTCTGACATTAAAGTTATATTCGGACAATCTGGGGTAGGTGGAATCCCGGGAGCCTGATACCTCTTTGTCCTACAACGATATGTTATTTCGACCATGATCAGCTCTATTATCGATAGCAAACCTATCCGCCAACTGAAAACCTCTGTCGTGTCCTTCAGCCCTATCGTAGGGCAAAAACCGACCTCTAGAAGACCGTTGATCTGCGTCGAAATCATCCTTCAGCTTTTCCTTATTCTTCTCTTGGTCCAACCCTTGGTTGATGCCGGGAAACCGAGCTGGTCATCCTCTATTCTTATCATTAATTCGTAGCGGTTGTGGACATCTGCCCATGTTGTCACCTGGAACTTGAGCAGACTTTCTTTCAATTTTCGAGAAGCATCAGAACTCCTCGGATTCAGCCCTTTAGTAAATTCCTCAGCTGCCCATTCGTCTGGCACGACCGGTAGCAGCATCATTTCTTTCTGAAATCTGGTCACGAACTCTCGCAGCAATTCGGACTATTCTTGTACAATTTTGAATATGTCGGCCTTTTCGGGCCTGTACC